TCGCAAGCTGTGAGTTTGGATCTAACCTCCGAATTGCCAGTTTGTGCTCATTTAGGCGAGTCTGCATTTTCCGTCCGGTTTCTCCAACGTATCTGCAGTCTCCATTGTTAAAGACTAGTTGATAGACAAATGCTGAGGTTTCAGTGGGTGGCAGCATGTCTTTACGTTACATGAAACGGCGTCTAAACTTTGCCTGGATTTGGTGGGCAATACCTACCCTGGCGGGTTGTGGCAGACGTGGAACTGCCCCCGTAGACTCCTTAAATGCATGGAATAGGCATCCAGACTTCGATTCGTTCTTCTTGCGTCCATCGTCTGTTTACATGGCGCTTGTTTTGCTTGATAAATTTGCTTAGGTATCCATTGGCCCGAAGGAAGTCATAAAGGTATTTTCGTTCAACTCTTTTGTCGTCATGTGTGCTGCAGCGTGTTCCAACTCTTTGGAATGGAGTACGGACATAGCTGCGTTTGTGAGGGAGGGGGTGATTGCTGTTGAAGTGTTGTGTTTGTCTCATGTTGGTGACATTTCTGCAAACGGTAGTTTGCAATTGTCCAGTTGCACAACGACGCACAGAGACATCGAGGAAGGGAAGATGGCTGTTTGTTTCAGCTTCCATCGTGAATTGGATATTCGGTCAACCGAGCACAGTAATTCTTTAAGCTGCTCCACGTTTGATGGTTGGATAATGATGAAAGTGTCATCGACGCAACAAGGCCAAAACTTTGCTTGATATTTGGTGAACGCCAAGTGTTCTATTCGTTTAAGGTGGTCTCTCCTGTCGTGGCGGTTAGCCAAGCCAAGTACATGCTGCCACCCACTGAAACGTCAGCATTTGTCTATCAACTAGGCTTTAACAATGGAGACTGCAGCTACGTTGGAGAAACCGGACGGAAACTGCAGACTCGCCTAAATGAGCACAAACTGGCAATCCGGAGGTTAGATCCAAACTCACAGCTTGCGACTCACATCGGAGAAACTAACCACAGTCTTGACTTTCAAGGACCAGCAGTCTTAGGCTGTGGCACCTCAAGGACAGAACGTCCCACACTTGAGGCTTGGTACTCAGATGCCAACTCCGTCAACAGGCATCTAGACCCTCCTGCGACCTATAAGGTCCTTTGTCATTGCATACGTCATGTCCAGGACAAGACGACCACACAGAGTTCAAGAATACCGAGCAACACGGCCTATCGACTAATTCACCCAAAAGGGAAACACAAACGCAACCGACCTCGATTGAGTTGACGATGCACAACACAGGAGGCCACTAATATTCACAAACGGTGGTCAGAGAGCCCAGGCAGCAAAAGAAGAAAAAGATCGATCAGCCTCAGGTCAACTAATTCGGCCGTCGAATCAAAATTCTGGTCTACTTTTACACTAGACGCTCTGATAATGGAGAGCTGGCCAAGCTCCCCGAAACGTCAGTAATGCAATAACCTTGATCCGGTGAGTACTTCACTATTATCAGAATATTGACCTGGATCTCTTAAGTTTGCCCACATGAGTAAACTAATGATTTGGGTTCCACGATATTTTTGGTAGAAAACAAAGCTCAGCGTTCGCAGTCTTTAGCGATTTAATGGTTTGACAAGATAGTGAACAATTTCTTGCCAAAATGTCACGGGAGATAAAAAAAAGTGATTTTTTTGTACAGCAACAATCACCAAAAACGGCAATAGCTTTTCAAGGGACGGACTCCATTTTCAACGCCAAATCCAGGTTTACAGCACAAGCGAATTTCGCCATATATTTGGTCGATTGTGATAGGCATACTCCACCTTTAGCTACTGCGACAGGGCTGCAACGTAACAGTATGACAACTACAGTAAGGTCGGCGTTTCCGGCGATGTCCACCGTGTGCCTCACAGTAAGGTTGGTGGAGGAACCGTGACGTGCAGGCGAATGGGTTTATAGTGTTGGAAGACTTCTCTCTCACCTGTGTCCGGTGTCACATCAGGGTCAAAAACACTGGAGGCGGGATGAATGCGTAGGTGTCTGGCACGGCGAGGACACGCGCGTAGGTGTAACACTATAATATCTGGTCCACCACGCACAACCGAACAGGATTTCAAACGACGAGGAAAAAAGTGGACGGGGCTCAGGTCCCATCTGAATGGGAGCGTCATAAGAGCCACATTAAGTGGGAGCCACTGCAGCCTGTCAGTTGGCAACCTTTTAAGCCACGGTTTTTAGTGCTCTGTGATAATTTAAGCGCCTGTCAGATTGCTTATATATAGGAGGTGCGCTAAAACGCCGTGGGGACGCAGACCCAAGTGTCGACGTGACTCTTTCTTCACGCTCACAGGCACCAGTCTACTGTCGGAGCCGATCAGCCATATAATGCGGGGAGTGGACGTAGTGGTTGACAGAAGTCCGTCTGCGCGTTCGACTTGCACGACTTGGTTCTGCATACACACAGGATTGCACACATAGGGGATAGATCAGAGAGGACGCATTGTGAATGAACTATCGCGGCCTGACACTCGGTTCGCCAGTCGGCCACTCAGCATACAACTACACACTAGGCTGACTGCTTAAACTGGCTTGATTTTTCATTTTACAACCTTCCAACGTACAGATTTCGGCACGTCATAATGGCCTCATGCACGTCAAGCTGTTTTTAGTTATAAATATGCGCAGAGGGTCGATTTCTCTCTTTCTACCTTCTACCATGCACCAGTCGACTGTCCACGCCGGAAAAGACAAAGAGAGGTGACTGGTAGGGCTAGGAATAGCCCTCCTGCGCGTGCCACAAATAGGGCCTGATACCCCCTCCCATATGGACACACCAGGATTTCCCGCAAAGGGTAGACTGCTCAGATCACATATGCAGCAGAGGAGCGTCATAGAGAGGCAGTGTGGGAGAATACCAGTGTTGTTAATGAATAGGACGTTGGAAGCAATCCCGTTGTTACATATCCAGTGCTGATCATCTGATTGTGCGCCAACTGACTATCATTCGTAAAGACTTCCGCAGAATCTCCAGAAAGGAGGCGCTATTGGAAATATTGAAGATGTCGCAACTGGGCTCCCGGACTTCTCTTAATCAAAACGGAATCGTTTTATAAAGAGGGTAATGAAAACTGTTTCAAGACGAGAAATTGAAATCGAAAACAACGGCGGTTTTCTCGTTATTACGAAACTCGCCATCCATAAAGAAAAGTACAGTATTTTCCTGCACCCCTACTATTTCAGAAGAAATTTGATATTAAGGGAACGCATTTACCAGTCCTTGACGAAAACTTTGGTATCCGTCAGTGAAAGCACAAAAAGCACACGTAACAGCGTTTCGTGCACACATAAATTGTGTGAAATGCAATAACGTGCCAAATCGCCGACACACGTTGGCCAGACCACGCCAGCGCACCCATGGTTGGTGACTCGACTGCAACGTTGTATGGGTCGCAAATTAACATCGTACGCGGTCCGAGCTGCTCCTGTCATCACAGACACACTCATAACCGCGGGTGCACTGGATACATTTATCCACTTCATCGTCTGCCTCACGATTCACACCATCACTTCGTTCCGTATCTGTCGAAGAGCTGTTGCGGGTAGCCATCATGACCAGTCTATCGTCAATGTTGAGGGCCCAGCTGTCTCTAGGTCATGAACGCATTTCAAAGAGCTGTTCCAGACGCGCTGACCTGAAGCCACTCAACCGTCCTCAGCTTGGATGTAACTGCGTCTACACAGTATCGGATGTCAAAGCGGTGGCTTGAACGCACCTCCGCCACTGGAACCACAACCTACGACACTGGGACACCACCCCTCGGCAAATGTAACACTCACTGACTGGACATCACTTGAGCTTGGCCCACAAGCCCAAGAAAGCGGCTGCCACCACTGTCTCCGGGACTCTCAGGCATGACTGAAGGCAGTCAACATCAGCCCTGACTTCGCCAGCTACTACTGCCGCCCGAGAGGACAATTCGTTTTATGTATACAATAAAATCTTCAGCGGCTTTCCAACTTTTTGGTTCTCGTTAGGGTTTCCCCGCCTTGAAGTTCTTTCCAACGTTTGCTTTCGTGCGATTTTTATGCGTCCGTTTGTTGCCGGGATTGCGTTGCCTGCTATGAGGTTTAGGTAGTCTCCTTGTACAGCTTTCTTGAGGTTGCTGATTGCCACTGAACCAATTTTTTGGGATTTCCGGGGAATACACTGGCACTTGGCTCTCGGTTTAATGGCGCGGAGATCCCCTAAGAGGCGCTCTTGTATACACCCAACAAACACTACGTTACCGGGCAAACCCAGGATTATTCGCAAACCTTGTGAAAAATGAATTTTGTTTTAATAGTCCATGTGGAAAAATCATTTAAGAAGGAGTCTGACGGTCAAGTTTCAGTCGTTCGTGGCTGCTCGCTCTGTGAGTGTCTTTCGCCGGTGGTATTGCCAGTGCTTTCTTCCATAACAGTCTTATTTGATGTCGCTTTAAGTTCGAATATGCATCAGTACTGAGCAGCTAGTTACTTTAACTCTATTAGAACCCTCACATCACCCACCATACGGTCAAAATCTTGACCGACTTATTAATAAGTCGTTAACTCTGACAATCATTTGGACTCCCAGTTTCGGCTCTACAGGGTCAAACGCTCCCAACACCTATTTGTGGCAGACAATCAACCGTGGACTTCCTATAGCTTGTTGTTGCTGTGTTTTTAGAGACGTCGGTCCCCCCAAAAGTGAACCTGAACATGACCGCGTAGACCGACGAAACGATACCAGGATATTGGGTTTGTGAAAGTTTCGCAGACTCAATTTTTATAGTACCGCCTTGTCGATCTGTTTACGCGGTTTTATTCAGGCAAGCTTTTCACACTCGAGCCCTTTGTACAGGTTCAATTTAACTTTAATACCAGCAGATGGGTACATGGTACATTCGATGTACAGACAGACTTCGGAGATAATTCTGAAAGACCTATGGGTCTTTTTCTCATAATCTTTCAGTTCACATACAAATTACGTTCTCATTCTACAGAACGCTAAATCTCAGCAATGGCTCGCTTCGTGCCTTATCTCAGCCCTGAGAAATTGAAGGAGTTGGCTGGTACTGCCAACGCCATTGTCGCTCCTGGCAAGGGGATTCTGGCTGCCGATGAGAGCACTGGTATGTTCCGCCATTTTGCCTCAAACCTTGATAGGCACTATTGGGAAGCGGTTCGCCTCCATTGGTTTGGAGAACACAGAGGAAAACCGTCGGGCGTACCGTGAACTTCTCTTCACCACCGACCCTGAGTTCGCCAAAAACATCTCTGGCGTCATCCTCTTCCACGAGACTGTCTACCAAAAGACCAAGGACGGGAAACCCTTTGTTCAACTTCTGAAAGAAAGGGGTGTGATCCCTGGCATTAAAGTCGACACGGGTGTTGTTCCTCTCGGTGGCACCTCAAACGAGTGCACAACCCAGGGTCTGGACGGCCTGGCAGAACGTTGTGCCCAATACTATAAAGACGGTTGCCGATTTGCCAAGTGGAGATGCGTTCTCAAGATTTCCTCGCACAATCCGTCATACCTAGCTATGCTTGAAAATGCGAATGTTCTCGCGCGGTATGCATCCATTTGTCAGCAGGTGAGTTTCTGCCATTGAACAACTTCCAAAAATGGTATTTTCTGGCGTCCTCGCTCTGAGGTGCATTATCTATTACCTTTGTTCGTCTGACAGAATGGTCTGGTGCCGATTGTTGAGCCTGAGGTCCTTCCTGATGGAGATCACGACTTAGAAACGGCCCAGCGCGTTACCGAGGATGTTCTCGCTTTTGTATACAAAGCCCTTGCCGATCACCATGTCTACCTAGAGGGTACTCTTCTAAAGCCAAATATGGTTACCGCGGGTCAGAGTTGTCCCAAGAAATACACGTGCCAGGAGAATGCACGCGCCACAGTTGAGGCTCTTCAGCGCCGTGTCCCTGCGTCTGTTCCTGGTAATTAACTGGCTATTACAAATTGCTGCTTATCACCTTGTGTAAAGTGTATAGATAGTTTTATCGCGACTAACATTCTTCAATACTCTCTTTTACCTGCTCCCTTCACAGCTTCCTAAAACGCGGCGTTTCACCCGCTGGTTTTTGTTGCGTTGTTTTGCCTCTTTTTCGACTTGTAAATGTGCAAGCCCCTTCCCTGGTAGTTCGACTTATTCTTGCTTGTTTTAGGTATCGTGTTCTTGTCTGGTGGCCAGTCTGAGACTGATGCCACCAAGAACCTAAACGAAATTAACAAGTACCCCGGAAAGAAGCCATGGGCTCTGAGCTTCAGCTTCGGACGTGCCCTGCAGGCCTCTGCAATTGCTGCATGGAAGGGCAAGCCCGAAAACGTCAAGGCCGGACAGACCGAATTTCTCAATCTTGCTAAAGTAATTCTTTCGTCATGTTCTAAGATGTTTTGAAGAGTACACACGAGGCTTTCATATTTCCGTTTGAATAATTGGCCTTATTCTCGGACCCACTTACGCCACTCTTTTCTTCTCTACAGGCAAACGGAGCAGCTGCTTTGGGCAAGTTCGAGGGCCATCTACAAACAGCGGCCGGTGACAAGTCTCTTTTCGTCGCCAACCATGCATACTAATGTGATTTGCTGTCATCTAGCTGTCAGCCATGTTCGCCACGTAGATGTGTGTTAAGCATCCATTGTACTCAAACTTATTTCTGCCTGTCTCTTTTTACTTCTTGTCTGACTGCTTTGCCTGCCTTGGTCTCGTTTTCTTCACTGTCATGACTTCATCATCAAGTATTATTGTTATTTACTGAGACAATCGAATAAAGAGACATCCATGCTCTCACCTTTTCATTGTGTCAACTATTTCGTTTGGTGTGGGTGTGCTTACGCGTCACAAGTCTTATGTGGTCCATAGTGGCGGCAGATGTGCACTCGTCTGACTGACCAGTTGAATCTCTGGGGTAGCTGTACAGATAAAGGTACTCCTCCCTCATTTCAGCCACGGGGCCAGGGGCCGTGGGCATGTGTGTATACCAAGTACACAATAGGGATCAGTTTCTTAGCTCATGGCTCTTGAAATCTTGGGACTCCGGGTGTTTTTGCGTTTTGCTTCAGACTGTACAACGGGCGTTGGGGGAGGCGGCGTAGTCTGTGCAATGGTTACGGTCGAGTAACTTGCAGTCGTACTTTCGGACGGTCGATCCGCTCTAATCGCTCGATTCTCCACTTAGACCTGGAGGGGAGGGGGATCTGGTGGCTGAAGTGCCCGGGTCGGCATGAACCGATTTTGATGGACAGCGCGTTTACAAGTAGGAGGGCTCGTCGCATTTTTCAAGTGCTACGAACTACGCAGTGTAGCCGTGTCTTCGAGCCAGACACCGCCTCCCCAGAGTAGACATTGCGTTTTTCCTCCATGGCTAACGTTAACTTCAACGCTATGATTCAGTCCTTTGTCCCATGGCGTTGCCCCCCATTTAGTGGCGAACTACCCAGCACTCATTGATTGCACCTGCTTGTTTGAGGATTGTGGGTTTATTTACCCCACAATGACCCACCCGACTCGATAGGTTAGTCTGGCCGGGGAACTTGTTCTAGTCTCGGGAACGAACTCCCATCTACGAGATCTCGCCCAGTAGCGGGGAGTGTGCTCTCATTCTTCGAGACACTGAGTTTGCACGCCTCCATCCGCGTTGTGCTGTGCTCCGCCGTAAGTTACAAAGCGTCTTTGTCCCGGCGACTGCATATGCGTCAGTGGTGTTGAACTTCACTATTAGTCCTGCTGATGGTGTTCCCTCTCGTTGTCTCAATGTCCTGTCCACTTCTGTAGATGTGGAGATTCACTTCGCTTGCCGTAGTCATCATAGCTGCCATTGGACCCTACCTCTACCCCGGATCAAACAAGTACACCGGGGAGGTGTGGCGCAGTTTTTCGTCCGGTATCGCTACCCTCTCTGACAGGCTTGTCTCACTGGGTCACGCTTTCATGGAAAAGGTTTACCACGCCTGCGGTTGGCGTGTTGGAGACTTCAACTTGAACGAGGAAACCAACCTTCCAGAATGCATGCGACAGCCCATGGACGTGGATCAACTGCGACCCTACATACACCTCAGCCTTCTAGGACATGTGTTTGATGTGTCCGCCAACAGTAAAGTCTACGGTCCGAAGGGTGTTTATACCGGAATGACAGGTAAATTGACGTCCCTACACTGTCTATCTAATCTCGAGATGAGCTGCTGGTCACTGCATTATAACTCGTTTCCTGCCTTGGACCTGTCCGAGACATTGTACATATCAGCGTGTTTTGCCTCTTCCAGGTCGTGACGCCACCCGCCTGATATTTTCCAATAAGTTACTTCCGGGGTCTTCGGGGTCCAGCGAGGAGAACATCGTCAAGGGTTTTGCATTGGACGGTCTTAGCTCCACGCAGCTTGCCGAACTGGGTGACTGGATGAAGTTCTACTCGAGGAAGTACCGCTGTGTTGGTGCGTTAATCTCGTGCTATCTTTCATCTTTCCAAATAAGTACTTTTTATCGTATGCGTGCCTATCTCAACGCTCTTCTTTGTCCTTTCCTTCTAAAGTAGACGCTTGCTTGGGCTTGGGTTGGAAAAACCCGTAGGTCTCGGATGGAAACCATGAAACGACGGGCTTGGAAGATTTTAGTCCTACCATAAGATACCTCTGAAACTTATAGATGCCCAAATAGGGCCTAAAATACTACGCATATGACTAAACTACGTGCCAAAATCCATAATCAGGGATTTGAGTGTGTGTCTGGTTGAACGAGGATAACCAACTCTTGGATAGAGAGGATCTGCGGAGATAAAAGGACAAGATTCTCGGATCACGTAAAAAATTTGCTAGACCTTCCTTTTCCAAGCTGACCTTGAACAGGCCTTTGGTACACACCCCCTTCTTCCCTCATGTTTACAGCTGCCACCAAAGTCAAACAGAATTTTATAACTTCACCAGAAATTATTGAACGGATCTGAAGTATAATTTTCCGCGCAGTGTTTTTTTCGGTTTGCCACGAATTTCGGTGTGAAAATTTGAATTGGAGCCCGCCGACTTCGATGTTATGCCAAATCTGGCAGTCATCGGTGGTTTGCCCTAAAAACCAAAGAACACGTCGCCATACCGCTAACACAGTCCGGATACGTGCTCTGCTGCCGCGTGAAACAACTGCGAGTCATTCAGCTCGCTGGTGGATCTTCCAGCGTCTCCACTGTGGTTTCTAACTTGCACTCCGGTTTTTTTCAGTTCCAAAGTCACCATTTTCGTCAGAAAGGAATGTGCGAATCTTGAGTGAAATTCCCGGGGCAGGATTCTGCCAAGCATGGCTTAGTATGCGGTAACTCCGCCCTCAAAAGTACACAGGCGCTGTCAGCAGGACCTTCATATTCGTTCAGTTCGATTACAAGGCGTTATTTGCCAACTGAGGTTATTCAACCAACCCGATTGTGGAAAACTCGGTGGCCACAGTGGGATTCGGACCCACGACAGCAAGGGCAAGGCTTAGATACAGCCAACGCTCTAACCACCAGATGTGATTAACCTCACGGTTCTTGGTGGGGACTTCGTAGCTGGGGTGGTTACAGCGTTGTCCGTACTCAAGCCTTACCCTTATTGTGTGCTCGAAGTCTATCGAGGTCCTCGAGTTTTTTACAACTGAGTCAATGGAATTCTTCAAAGCTGCTAAAACACCCATTAATAAAATGAACCTGGTATCCATCTAGTGTGTTCTAAGTTGATTCCTGGGGGAACCTTGCTTGGACAGCCGGGTTACTGTATAAGAATTGACTTTTATACGTTACAGTAGGCTGGGCGGGCAACTTGACCAGACTCACGACTTACGGTCGGGGCCTTGTAGCTCAGGAGGTTAGAGCACTCGCAGTACTTAAACCATGTCAAAATGACTGGGCTTATATCAGAAACTACATTATCACAGATGAGCCGGGCCCTCTGCAGTTTCTTCATGCGACTTCAGAAAAACAACAGCTGGAAGTATGATGACACAAGTTTCATCAAAGTCCGGGTTACTTGTGTCAGCTTGCCTGCCTCGTGGGGGCTTTGTGCAAGCACACCCGTTTGTATTACTGAGGCGCATTGTTATTCTCTTCTTATATACCTGTCAGGCTATATTCCTGGACCGTACTTTTCACCCATGGGCGAGGCCTCCGACTATCTCAAACAACTGGTTGGATTGTGGAACCGCAGGGACTTCGCGCACGCGGATCTTGCCGACCTCTTTCCCCCTTGCAGTTCATTCTTTGATGGGAAGTCCCTCACTCTAAGATGCAATTCCGAACGTGGGTGAGCTCCGTCAGTTGCTTTTGTAGTTTTTGTCGCAGTTTCAGTAGGCTCGAAGACCCCACTGACAGGGCTGCTCTCCGTGCCCAAAATTTGGCAGGCTGACCCACTTTTCCCCCGCCGTCCTCGCCCTCTTTTTCTTCCCTTCTTTTTCTTCTTCTTCTTCTTCTTCTTCTTCTTCTTCATTATCATGACCACCACCACCACC